CACTTTTTCTACGAAACCTGGGTTGCTAGAAACTGTCGCCGCTAGCGTTTGGTTAGCATTTGATAAACTTTGTAACTGATGAAACAAATCTGTCCCACTACCCGTTCCAAGAGAAGACTCATCTACCGTCTACTGAACAATCATGCAAAGTTTTACCTATTACTCAAATGAATCTCGGTAGTAGCTCTCAAATTACAATGACCTGAAACTAAGTATGGCTATTGTAGGCGTAAACTGTGTCTACTTACACTGCCTTGTACGCGTTGTCGCATTGCCGAGGAGCCCGTGACAACTGGGCTTTGTTGTTCGTTTGACTTGACATGACGGCTTTTTTGAGTCACTAGCAATAGCGTCATTTACTGATTCCTTGAGTATTGAAAGAACTAGGACTGAAGAGCAGCAACACGTTGGAACATTTGGTTTGCTGTAGCCCTCTATCATGCCTGGCATTCACAGGATCAACTATAGTTGAAATAAACACTTTCATTTCAGCCGAATCAAGTTGCGTCGTTATTGTTCTCCGTTGATTTCCCCACTTATTCGTTGATGGCAACTGAGAATAATCCACTCATTTGATACAAAGTATCGATCAAGTAAACAGTTATTTACACGCACTGTATTATTTGCCTTATGGCTTCTACCAACAGTATGACGTAAGGTTACCAAAGACAGTCTGCACCTATCTGATGTGCAATCCAAAAAAGATCGAATTACATTAAGAGCAAAGTTGAATTATTAATCCATCAACCTTCTAACTATTTGCAGTTTTGAGCATCTATCAGCAGCGGCATTCTCGTTAGGGTATCTGCAGTTGTCCTGCAATCACCAGATGCACCGCTGAGCGATTATGATATCACCCCAATCAAGCCGTTCTGCTTCAGTGGTAAAACAGAAAACGCGATAATCGTAAGGACCAGAAAATTACATGACATAAAACAAAGTACCTTATTATGTAATGCGCCTTTTGTAGGTTCAGATTTTAAAAGACTGATTTCATCGGTAATGCGTTGGTAGCTTCAGCGCATTGGTTGGTAGCTGATCAGTTGTCTGTTGATCTGTTCGCCGAGCTGGGCAATTTATTTGTAGACGTTCCATCATCAAGGATGTCTCATCGAATGGTGACGAAACCTTGGCAAATCGATCGCCAAGCTCGGCGAACAGATCAACAGCCACCTGATCAATTACCAACTGATTTCACCACAAATTTATTCGTTATGCATGTAAGGACCTTCAACTACAATACGCCAGCGCCTATGTTAGGGTTTCAGAACCTGAGAACCGCTGCCCACTAAGCAATACTTTTTGATAGAGAATGTTCGGACAGTAAACAGCGGAATCCGCTCATTTACAGAACAAATTATTAAGTGCTGAAGGGTATAAAATTAAAACACTAGCACGGAAAACAGGTCTTCGGTGATCAGTGAAGCGACGAAAACAGGTTTTTGGATGACAGCACCCTGCACCCAAGCTCACTCGTGATCTCAAAACCAAGTTCGGTTTAGATCGCTTACTAGGTCACGCCTGTTACAAGTCGAAAACAGGTTTTTGGATGACAGCACCCTACACCCAAGCTCACTCGTGATCTTAAAACCAAGTTCGGTTTAGATCACTTACTAGGTCACGCGTGTTACAAGCCATATGACAATTTGGAAGATCTGACAAGTTGATGAGTCCTGTGGACAGCCTATCGCGAACAACATGGGAAATGGTGAAGTATCCCAACTTCAGGAGGGAACAAGTTGCTTTGCGATTACACTACTCTGTTCTTCTGAGTAGTGCAAGATAAACCGAATACCCAGAGCCTTGCAAGTGATGGTGGAAGACGTCCCTAGCCAGTGTGATAGTAAGAATTTGTCCTTGTGTGACTCAGCTTACTGTTTCCATCTTACAATGTACAAACTTAACCCATGTTTGAAAATGGATGGACCCAAAGAAAATCGGCAATTCTGTAACTATGGGACACTGCAGACACACACGAAGACGAATAGCAAGCATTAGTGGAAGTGAAACTGATTTGCAGTTCATCCAGTCCCATTGTTTCAGTGGAAAAAGCAATCAGGTGGAAAAACAAGGTTGGTTTTACTAAACCTGGGATCCGAACTTACACTTTGAAGAAGGAGTGTTTAAGCTCAAATCTTCTGAAGAGGTAGGAGTCGATTCGCACACTTTGAAACTTAGGTAGCTCAGAAAAATAGTTGTCGGTGCACACCAATACCATTTGAGTAAGCTACTACAGTTCACTCAGACGGAAAGGCGGCATCAAGATAAAATCCGACCACAACCGTGCAATTTGGATTCACCTTATCAGCCAATCGTTCACGAAGACAGAAAGGTAATCATAATAAGCCTCAATAACGATCACAAATGAATCGGGAATTCGTTGAGCATTAAAGGAATACGGACCACCTAATCTAGGGTTCGGGACTCTTATCACACCTGTAACTTCAAGTGATAGTGACGAGGGTTGTCCACTTTCACAGGGGAACCCCGGTGAAATCCACCTAACTTGACGACGGAGCCTGGACACAGCTCGTCTACAAACAAGATGGTGATGTCAGACTTTCACAGAAACACTGACACATTGGCAGTTGCCTTCTCTCCAAGGTATCTGTAACCTACAGGACAGTATCACGCTAATGACGTCTGGCTCTGTTCAGGAGTAGTAGTCGATTGATATAGGCGCCGTTCACATCGAAATACCCAAAGAGCTCCAAATAACTCATCAGGGGGTATGAAAACAATTGGATCATCAAGTGATCAATGTAAACCACTAAACTTCTCTCCTATATTAAAACACATAATCAATTTTATGAGAAACTCGAGTCTACCTGGAACAAGTTAGCATGGGCTACAGCTCACAGAGAACCTACATCGCTCCGATTGAACTACTTAGGACATAGGAATTCGCAGACCACATGCTGCGTGGTAGCATATATTTGACCCGAACCAACCTCAGGGTTAAGAAAAGTTTTAGATCGGATGCAAACATTCACACATTGCATGCTGTTGTCGAAATTTTATCGCTCTTAACATATACTTGGCATAAGTTCTGCATAGAGAAGGGTTTGCTGCCTTTAAATATCCTAGTTTAGGCCACGTGGTTCATCGCGTTCGGAGTCATTAGGTTGACCTACTGTTCCCAGGTTCGTACGGTCTACGTGGTTTCGAAAATAGTCCACATGCGGGTCATGCCCTTAGGGATGCGATAAAAATTGCTCACCAGAATTGTTCCAACAAAGAACATTGTCAGTGGGATCGAACAAAAACTTAACAGACACGGGACAAATTATTTGTTTCGAAGGATAGATCATACTCGCGTGACGCGCAATGAATCTGGTTAACGTGTTATTCGAAGCAATACATCAGGAAAATATGTATAACTCTACAATTACCTCTTAGATTAACTTTAAACGACTGAAAAATGGGGCGATTTACAGGAGCATTTATGTACGACTGGACATAATGTAAAGTCCTAATACCACTGGACTAACGAGTATGTACGGGTGGATGGGACTTGCAGGTCACCAGCGGTCATACCGCTGGATATCCGCACTTGGCCGAACGTGGTGCTGCACGCAAGCCCTTGGCGACGATGTAGACCTGAGTGAATCTGTTTGTTAAGTCAATGTACCGAGGCTGTTGTAAGCTGCTGCATTAGTACTACTGAATGAACCTACCTGCATAAACTTGATCCAGAGTAGTTTCGCGGTATTTCACACTGATTCCAAGTTAGCTGAGAAGTTTACTATTATTGATTGATGATGATTTTGACATGATTTACGAAGGTGTGCAAAGAGCTGATAACACTACTAGCCAACCAAAGAAAGTACAGCAGTGTAGTTTGTAAAAGTCGTGATTAAACGACAAGTATGACCAAAGATTTGCAGCGCCAGTTTCTTTACTTATTTTCTGAGACCTACCAATTGCTACTCATATTTTACACTAAGATTTCAGTCTAGGCATAAAGTCAGCTGCAACAAAAGATTCGACATTAATCAGCTGGGATTTTATGATGGGAAGTCAATTCTCCACAAGGGATTTTCCTGTTCGTGTTCTGGGTTGGGGAAATACACTGTGAGTGGAGAGTTTCGCTCCCGCTGAACTAAGTTCTTCCATAAAAGTATTGCACACTGAAGGATGCTTAATGTAGGGACTATTGAATACTTTGCCCAGCTTGGAAGGGTTGCACCAGGTTTGACCAGAAACTGTTCAGATCCCCGTGTGACGTTCATAGCCTATCAACGGGGAAATACATTGTGAGTGGAGAGTTTCGCTCCCGCTGAACTAAGTTCTTCCATAAAAGTATTGCACACTGAAGGATGCTTAATGTAGGGACTATTGAATACTTTACCCAGCTTGGAAGGGTTGCACCAGGTTTGACCAGAAACTGTTCAGATCCCCGTGTGACGTTCCCGGCCATCTTCATACGCCTATCAACAGTTTGTCTGTGCGTACTGCCTGGCAAGCAGTTACAGACCGATCCCGATACGATGCTAAATATGACCTCGAAACCAAGAGGCTTTTTGAGTTGCATGAACACCTTTGGAGATTGGATGTTTAACTCCGCGGGTGATAACTATCGTGGCATTGCATATTATCCAGTCACATTACTCTGTTTTTTCCTGCTTAGGAGTTGCTAGATTGGTGGGTACGACCAGTTCCTTCAGACGCTATGCCACTTGGCAATATCCCAAAAGCAAGATTGCAATACTTGAGTCGAGCCGTTCTCGAAAGCTGTCATTTGTACTCATTTCAGTAGCATAATTTCGCCGATTAAAATAAACATCTTGACGAATAGCTCCAGCTGCTGCAAAATTCCTCATATGCAGAGAACGTTCAGGACATCTACAAATCTCGGAGGCACGTTTAGCGGACTAAAGCATGTATTCAAGAGCTGATGACTATTGCTTTTGATATCTTTCAGATAGTGGATTTCGGATTTAGGCGAGTATCAATCTATGTTTATGCAGTCTGAACTTGTAGCGCCATTGTTTATTAGAATGACTGAAACCAACGAGCTTGATAAGGCCTGTTTCAGACGGTCACCCCATACGGTTATCACGGCAACCTCAAAAAAGCCTCTCTGGATTTCTCCTACCAACAAAACCGGAAGAGGCGATTCAGTTGACAGTTGCTTGCCGGCTCGTAGTAACCAATCGAACAAACCAATCAAGGCGATGGATCAAGGGGCAACCTCCTCAAGCAGACTAAAGGTACGCAGGTAAGTAGAAGTGACCCTTCCTTCGCCAGCATGATACGTTTCGTATGTAGCATGAATCTATTTTCTGTTGTTAATGGTTTAGTCCTGCACCACGATGAAGAACTGGGTTTTTATTAAAGTTTGACACGCTGTTAGTCTCGAAGTCCCAATGGACTGGACGCCCCGTACACAATGTCTCAGGTCTCGAGCTTTCTTCGACGTTTTCTCGATGCCAGGGAGGATAAAGAGCATCCGGCGATTTCCTTTTGTCAATGATCATTACTGCCAGATATGATCTGGCCTACAGCCTCCGCCCACGCTGGTCGACTAAATTTCCCAATTCCTGTGTTTTAAGGTGTCCGCCAACCTTAGACCTTAATCAACTTGCGTCGTTTCACGCTCTGTACGCTTCTTCTACTTGTATAGTTCGACCATCTTAATGCTTTCCAAACATCCGGGAATGGCCATAATGGTACCGTTCACCCTACACGGTTCAAGTTATAACAAAGAAAATCCTCCCCAATTTCTCGTCAGACTCGGGTGTACATATTAATTAGAATGAACCTACTGATGGTAACCGAGACCGATACGCCAAAAAACATCACCTGGAGGACAAGTGAAAAAAGCGCAGGGTTAGACGGACTGAGGCGTTTGGGACACGTGTTACGTACGGAACACTGGAAAGGTTTAGCAGCACCAATCTTTTTTTCGTTGGCAGGTGATACCTGCACTATTGTGCTTGGGCCAGGGTCAAAAGGCATCTGGATTCAACTTTCTTAACGCAAAGCTTTGGCTTGTGGATGCGAATGATGACAGCTACAAACATATTCAGCATTCTTTCCAGTCTTGACATTTATAGGCTGATCTTAAGGACTGTAGCAGTAGTGACAACGTTCCGACTGTTTATAGGTTTCAAATCCAGTTTACACCAGATGGGTAATGCGGTTACCACGTTCTCTGACAATTACTAGCGTGCTCAGCCATTACAGTGGCTTTTTGGTTGAGCATCTCAAGCAAGTACGACGAAATCTCACTACAAAACCATCCTCCTACTCGAAAATCTTATGGTCCGTTCAGACCGCCTACCATAGTCCAAGTTCAGCCACTAAACACTACCAAACACCCAGTGACCGAGGATAACAGTTTAATTCCGCTACAGAAACGTGTGCTCAAGCTCAAGCTTGCTCTGTATTAATCTCTTCTTCAGAAAAATGCACCAACTCTTTTCCATTAACAAGCACTGTGATCCAGCCGGCCTAAATAGCCTCATCTCAGCTCACCAAGTATTAATTTGCCAAAAAAGTTGTGGCCAAGCAACAAGTCTCTTTTCCATTAACAAGCACTGTGATCCAACCGGCCTAAATAGCCTGATCTCAGCTCACCAAGTATTGGTTTGCCAAAAAAGTTGCGGCCAAGCAACAAGCGATAAGCAGTGAGTGAGTCCTTTTGACAGAAGGGAGATCGAAAGGAGTACACAAGTATGGAACCGCCGGCTTTCCCACTTAAACTCTTGACAAAAACAAAAGATAATCACTTTTTGGTATACGACCGGAGCTTAGCCCCCAGATGAAGTTTTCTACAAGCAGTCTCTGCAGAGCACGAACTGACCGAAACTTTTCTGACTTTCTTGATACCAAAGTGGATGTGTATAAAAGCCTGTACTTTTCCCCATATTTTCAGCTTTTGTCAGAGTTGCTGTCCTCCCGATCAGTTCAGAGTAGACTGCTTACTTTAGCGAGCATACCCTCATTTGCAAACTAATTTGGTTTTTCGAGAGACTCACCTGGAACTCAGCTGAATCTGTTTGTGATGTTCCCAGGCAACTGAATGTGCTGCACCAGGCTGCATCATGTTTCAGTCACTACGATATTCGAGGTATCGCGATACATGTATATCTTTGTAATGTACTACTCATAAGGTTGCTGACGGATTTTAAGCAACCTTATGAGTAGTACATCACAAAGATACACTGCTTACTTTCTTATGAGCCACANATGTACTACTCATAAGGTTGCTTAAAATCCGTCAGCAACCTTATGAGTAGTACATTACAAAGATACACTGCTTACTTTCTTATGAGCCACAACCAGCTGCAATTGGCCAATCACCAAATGATCGTGCTGCTTCTGACGTCCACCTCAAAGCTGACATAATCAAACTTATGAAGTGGGTATCAGCAACAGAAACGACTCTTATCCGGGAGTCTATTCAGCCTGCAACAAGTGACAACGCACTCTCCTAAGTAAAATGACTTACCTTAGCGTACTCGCTGTTACAAAACCAGTGACCTTGAAAATCCGTAAAATTGGATTTCCTTCCGCATTCCCGAAACCTTAACCCTGCTGCACTGCCTCTACCTCACGTCAGATTGATATTAGTATATTCTATGTAAAAAAAGAAGAACCTGGTCTGTCAGCTACTTCATTTTGGCTGAGAACTTAACCTCGAGCACATTCACTGGGCACGACGTATCTTCTAGTGCTCCTACCAAAAGGGATGTCATTCAGGACTTATCCGTACTGTTCACTCGTGTTTTCAATGCTCCAACCATCATTCCGAAGGTATGCACTGTTTCCAAGTGACTGTCCCTCCTTGTGGGACCGAACTCCACCCCTGCCTACGAAAGAAAGCTATGAAACTACTTTTCATTCTGAATATCTCCAACACTTTCCACAGCTAACTTTCCCAAGTCAATTAGCTAACTTTTGATAGCCTCAATTACTGACATTCATCTTCCACGTTGTAAATGTTTGTGTTGTATGGCTGGAATTCTCATCTGCGCCACCCTATGAGTCCATGATTCCCGCGCGTTCAAAAAACGAACGTTCTCAAAAATGTACGGGCTAAAGTCTCGAATTGTCGAGACGAAGTCAGCACTCCCTACCATCAATAATTCAGTTACGTCAAGTAGTTTTGCGAACAGAATGCAACAAGCCACAACCCACCAAAAAGCCCCCGCCCCTGCCAGCTAAAACCGCTTGGTCGTGAAATTTGGATTGAATTTATCTTTCGAGAGATCCCAAGCAAAGATCGTTCTGAATAGCCCGTGAAGCAAAATACCCTGCCAACAGACATCAAGATGATAAATTCGTGCACTGGACATTTGCGTATTCTGATATTAACAAGGCATCTGACCAATGACATGACGGTAAGATTGTCCCTACCCATGTGATTAACTTGGTGTATGTCCGTTTGGTGTTTAAATACCACAAGCTGCCTTCTGCAGGGATGAGGCCGCTGGTGTTTGGTCCATTGAAATTTATTTCACTGGCTAAGCTTGTTCCAGAAACGACCACTATAGAAAATAATTAGTTTGCGGGATATGTAGTGTTCACAACAAAATCAAAGATCGTCTAGTGGAGTTAAGCGTCTGTGGCGCTGCCTGACTGGGAAATCCTGAAGAGTGGGTCAATTGATCGTCACAACCGACCCAGTTACTGGGATGTCGTTCCGGCAGTAGTGCACACCAATCACATCGCTCAAGTGTGAACATGATCACCTGTTCTGACGCGGAAACTCAGATGCGTCCAACGTGCACTGGCGGAGTAATGGTAACACGCCCGCCTTACATATCAGATGTCCGGAGTTCAAACCGGGGAGAGATCAGTGATGTGCACTGTTGATAAAAGCGAAACTCGAGCCAAGTGCCTCCCCTTTTGATGTTGGCTCACCAGAATGATTGCGCCAGCGCAGGAAGACTTTTCAAAAGAGATTGATATGAATGTGAACCATTATTATTATTTACAGAGTCAGAAAACCCATGACGTTTATTTGCTTTCCAAAGACCGCTTGAAGGGACAGGCTAAAAGTGGCACACCTGTGTAACTTAGTTCCCGGCCGAGCAACCACCTCATAACAGCCATCACTTTTTGGGGCCCTACCATCGAAATACGCTGCGAAGAACAGACCAGTTTTCCGTTGTGGATTGTCTATTTAGTCGACTGTTTTTTTAGAAAAAAGCAATGAGCAACCAGCCACAGTTCGTGTTAATTGATGCAGTAACTACACTAGGGTGCACTTCAACACTTATTCATATGCTATCCACGTGAAGACTTCCAGAAGTTCAGGGTTGATATCACCACATTTAATGAGACCTGGAATATTTTCACCACTGTGCCGGTTTTTCAGTTCCTTAAGAAGCCACCAGTTATGAAAGCTAAAAAAAGAACTTTCCAGAGGTGAGTTTGCGTCCAGAACATCCACTGCTAAGTCTGTCGCGTGCACAGTTACAAGCCTCCTCCTTGAAGTGACTACATAGAGTAACTGGCCAAAAACGGTCCTCTCTAGAAGAAATTCTACTACTGATACACGTTTAATGGGCCAAGCAAGTGGTTTATTCTGACGATTGGTAACTATGGCGACCGACCCTTCCAGAGTGAAACAGCTAAAAGTACAGGACTGTGTGTGCAGTCTCTGAAGGTTACCATAATATCGTCACACTATGCACCATCATCATCATCATGGTGTTGCAGGCTGAACACGCCCCCGGACAGTATCGGTACTAGAGTTGTTCCTCTTTGAACAGACCAACCCATCATAGAATACCTCTTGGAAGAGGCCATGCTGGTTTGGTACCTTGAGGCTTCTCTAGACATCTCCGAAAAGACGACAGCTGCGCCCATGAAAAATTTGCCGATTTTGCCACTTCGAAACACAGTGGACGTTCAACCAACAAAGAACACCTTTAAAGGGCACAAAATAAGCATTTAAACTTTGGTCTTCATAAACATTACAACTCGGTTGAAAGCTCTCTTAACCTTTGCAATTGTATGACTTGAAAAGACCTTGCCGAAAACATGTTCGTCAACCCATCTGTGTTCTTATTATAAATGGGAATTTTCGGAATAGGTTGAAAGCCTCAAACCATTAGGACGGGATCAATACAGTGGTAAGGTTCATGGTACTAGGATAAAGTGGAGGTCCCCAATCAAATAAAACAAACTGTAGGACCAATGTGTTACTGAGCGGTTGTTTTAACCTGGCTATATCGTGCAGCCATTGTTCAGTAAGGACAGATAACTATCGATTTGTATATTCTCCCACCTATGGTTTCATTCCCGATATGATCTCACTGGAGCTATAGGAAAGGAAAAAATAAAAATAGCTTGACCCATATGAAGTTGAAGTCGTCATAAGGGTTGTTACTCGAAATTAGAAAAGTGGTACAAAAACCGCTGCCTCGTAATGTTCTGAAGAACAAAGGCTGACAATAAGTCCACGGTGTCACTACCACACTGCACTAGTACAACTCGATCACGGACGCACCAAGGGGTTGTATACCTCATGCATCCTTCCAGCTGAACTATTCTACTACGCACATACAAAGCTGGCACACGGTCTCGGATACGACTGAATTTTTCAGCAGCACAGTGGAGGAAGGCAGCTAATGATGTGCATTATCGAGCTTTTGTGTGGATTAACAACATGACCAGTCACGACGAACACGATATCATGAATTCAAGTAAAAACTGAACGCCGAACCTGGACTTTCTAGGCAACCCGCTATCAGATTGCACGTTGCAGTTTAGATAGGCAAGCAGGTCGAAATTCTTCCAATTCCCATCGATATCTGCCTGTAGAGCAGAATAGGAACCTTGTCGTGTGAAAGAGCCAGAGAGAATCGGTCAATTCAGACCTGAAACGGAATATGGAAGGACTCTCACCCGGATTTTTTTCATATCCTAACCGTTAAGAGACCAAGGAGAGGAAGCTATTTCTCCTTCGCTTACCATTCAAAGTAGATCCAGTTTTTGGCTAGTTGAATCAATGCCAGTAAAACACCAACATCGTCAGATTATCTTAATACCATTAAGAATGAGAACATATTAATGAATTTAGCTTTACCCATGAGTGCCTATTTATTCACGTATCATTAGAACAAAGTGTGGCGAAAAAGCGTGAATCCTGTTATTTTTACCAGGCTCAACTATCACAACTTTACGTAAAAACGCATTGCAGCCACGTGCTGCGTTACGTACAGTCAGCAAGTTCACTCACACATGTTTCTGAGAAAGCTGTTCAAAACGTTAGGTCACTTGAAGGCGACAACGACCATTGGTACTAATACCTTCGACAGAATCCGTCCAACTGGCTTCGCAATGGCTTGGTCATACGGTTTACCAAAATTGTGGCAAGCCCCATGTTCGGCTCTCCGTAACGTTCCGTGACCTAAGGACTTTCCGGAACCCATAAGAAGAGGAGCAGAAGTGTGTTCTGAAGGATACACTCAATCTCATCGAAAAGGTTGTAGGGAAGACGGGATGTTTCAGACGTGTCCTTGATTCACTTACACTCATTATTGTGCCACCGGAAAAGAACCACTGATTGTAATTGAGACTAGATGGACTGCAATAGGAGGTCAGCATCCCTAATACTACTCCCGGTTCAACGCCAACAAGAAAACAATGCAACAGAACGGTGGTGTCGCAGTCGGGTTCCCTCCTTGCAGATTTCGTGGGCAAACATGAGACCTGGTCACTATATTTCCCAATCCACCGACTTACAGACTTGCCGCTAAGCTGGCGACAAGCCGCGCCTGCAACAGATAGCATAATTTCCACCTGTGTCCAGAAGTCCTCCAATTCACTCCATCTTTATTTCCATTTTGCCCCAAAAGCTGAATACACTGGCCTGGTACATACCCTCGATGTCGATATAGGTAAGAAAAAGGACTGAATTATTTACGCAGTGCATAGAAAGCAGGCATGGACAAGATAATTCGCTCATTTCGACAATTTTGACTCACTAAAATAGGGTTGAAACCTGGCGTATCTCTAAATGTACTTTCACACGAATAATCGCAACCTAGAGCAGATGGTTGCTACGATAGGCTACCCAGAGTGATTCATACTAAGAAACTATGCAGTCCGTGAAAATACGAACTACGAGATATTCCGCAGAGTAGAAGTAGGTCCACCTAAATCACATTTAAAGTAGACTCAGTGGCCCTATTAATTACCAGAATGCTAGGGAATGCCATTGATTGCACCAACAAAAACGTTATTCTACGCTTCGGTTACGCCACCACTGTCAACGGGATTCAACTGTCAAAACCCACTACGAATTTCTGGACGTATTTGCTAGCGTGCTCACGCCAATCACCTTGACCGTACAATGAGGGGTTTGTCAGACCCAGTACGCGTATAAAACCCCACTTCATTGATTAAAAAAAAGAATACAAGCAAGGGCATTGCCAGGCCACATCTAACCGGGACTGATCATCCTACGGAAAAAGCAAATGTCAACCATGTTATCCATGGGACACCGTCAAATAGATCGTGGACAGCTATAATGAGAACGTTATACTGTTGTAAGGCCGTTACAATCCAGTTGGGACCCACAGCTCTCTGTCCCGATGACAGTTCGAACTTGTATCGAACAACGAAAAGCCGTGCTACACCTCTACAGTTGACAAAGTCATTTTCTCTGAGCGATCCCTTTATCCGTGAACAGAAATTAACAGTCGTTCAGCTACAGCACTTTTTCGGTGCACAGCTGTAATGCGAAGCGAATGGCGTACGAGGGCTGAGGTATTGCTGTGTTGTCTAAGCCTAAACAGGAGCAGTCGAGATGCAGAGGTTGGGTTCCAATCACGGACTTTCTGCTAGTCCCCTAACCACTGATCTAACTCGAGCTAAACACACATGGCTGTTGTGGGTTTCCGTACAAATCCGTATATCTACATGGTACCGTACATCTCACTGTGTGAAGTGAGCCAAAGTCATGAAAAACGGATAGACGAGGATAACGAGTTGTAGAAAGTCAAAGGAATAATCGAGATTCAGCACTGATAAAAAATATATAAGGAAATAAGCTGCAGATAGGGTTGGGAAAATATGCACAAAACTGAGTACACAGAGGATATATAAATCAATCGACTATTCCTTTCTCGGCCTACCAAGTGTTCCACCACTGTTCTCTAGACATTCTGAGATGCGTCTCGACAAACTGGAACTGACCTCACCTAGATGAACTGAGTTCAAAGAAGCGCATGCAGTGCGAATATTTGTGCGTAATTCCTCCAACTTCTTCGGAGGTGGGTCGTATACTTTGGAACCCAAATAGTCCCATAGGAAAAATGTCATGGGATTTAAGTCAGGAGACCTTGTAGGCCATTCGAACAAGCCACCTTTTCCGATCCAATGTTGCGGAAAATGACTGTCCAGCCAAGACTTGACCATGACCGCGCAGTGCGGATTCACCGTATCATGCAGAAAATAAATCCGATGGCGCACATCATCTGCAAGAGACTTCAAGTAGGGGCCAACAACTGTGGAAAAACAATCCACTAGACGTTGAGCGTTGAAACTTCCATCGAAGAAGTAAGGGCCAACTAACGTACGATTGTGAAGTCCACACCACACCAGTAATTTCAAGTTATATTGATGATGATCATCTACGCTAACCTGGGAACGAACTGAACTGTACTGGACTATATGATGGTGATTGACCACTCCATGAAGGTTGAACACAGCTTCGTCAGCGAACAAAATATCATTAGCCATGGTGGGCGTCTCAGACAGTTTGCCCAAAAACCACTGACAAAATTGCAGACGGCTCTTTCGCGCATCATCCGTAAAACGTTGGATTATATCCCACGTATGGCGCTTGATCCCATATAACATCAGTGTACGACTCACAAAAGCGCGGCTAACACCGAAATGTTCTGCCAGCTCAAGATTTGTCATCGATGGCTTGTCACGTGCCATGTTTGCAACAACTAATCTCAGCTCTGCATCACGAGGAGACGATCCTTTCCGCGACCGATGAGCAACAGACCCAGTTTCCTGGCATCGCTTCAGCAACTGAGTCAAATATCTGTGAGTTGGCTTACGTCTATTCGGATGTCGTCTGTGATATTCATTGCAAGCTCCTCGGAGTGAATGACCACAGCGGTAGATTTCTATGAGCTCCTCCATTTCGGCCTCAAGCCACATGTTTTCAAAATGTACAATTTCTGGGGTTTATGACATGATGATACGCTCCACCAGTCGCCTAACCAACCAATCTGATGCAATCCGACTGAAATCAAAATAAATGTGTTCATTAAAAGACGAATGTTCGGAAACAGTAGATAAATGGCCTATTCATTAACAGAAACCACGATTAGATGTTAGGAGAAACAGCCAGCAGTTGGACACAAATATGGTTCAGACTCTCACACTCAATAATATCACAGACAAAATACGCTAGTTCAGCTGGGATCCGCTGTTGCATTTTTCATGACCACACGAGCTGAGTTTGAGAAACTTTTGTCGGAGACATGAAGACGTCTCAATTCCACCGCCCGCAGCGGCCGAATCTCAACCATATAACAAAACAGCACGTAGCCTGGTACACAAACCCCTTGAGGTTCAGCGATATGTCGCTATGTTTCTCAAATTAGCAAACGCGATCCGAGTCTTGCAGATTCACGCACTGATGCCATTTACCACACTATAATCGGGACTTACACAACTTCGAAGATACAAAAAACATTCCGAAAACCCAAGTGGCTGTTTGGATTGTGAGCCGTTTGTTCATTGGCTGCATGAGCATCACCTTACTGTTTGTACGTGCAAAGTGCACGCCAAAGGACTGGATGACTTCGGTTTAGTTAATCCCCAGACAGGGGCTATGTAGTCTGCATAATCCAGCTAGACAGTGTTTTTATCAGCAGCTATTTGAACGCCAAAGTTCTGAAAACCTCTTAGAGGTAACCTCATTATCCACCTTATCAAGACAGTAAATAGAAATGGAGAGGAGGCCTTACAAGCCGGAACCCACTTCTTGGATAGAATTTAAATAACTCTCCACATAATCTCATGCACCCGAAAGTCCGAGGGTACCAAATACCTTATCTTATTGATTAACTTCCGGGGCACTCATTGTTGTCTGTGCTGTGAACAGACGGGTCAACACACAGTCAACACAGTGTTCGACCCGGCAGTCGAGGTATAATTCAACCATCATCACGTTATGAATGTCATGGTTGTACGAAGGCTGGGATACTGCCACGGCGCCCACACCGAGACGGAAGGACGATTAGGGTCCTCAATCAAAGCCTTTGGCTCAAAAGCCTAAACTCAAGGCAGCGGTGTTGGGCTGGAAATTCAAGTACATTATTATTTTTAGGGGAACGAGTCCTTCTTCAGTGCAGGTGGTCACACCGGTTCGATCCTTGACGGTTTCACTCACTGGCAGTTTCTGGTGGCCGGATCAATGGAAATAATCTGCAGGCATTTCCAGCATTCTTCGCCTCTCTGAATCCCTTAGCCGTCACGGTCAGCGTGCACGCTGGGCTTCATTGGACGTCTGATGGCTTACCCGGTTGCATTCTTTTCTGAATCGGTGAGAACATCTTCCCGAGAAGGAGGCAGCGCCACTATTCTGTGAATAGATAATCGTTCAGATCTGGCACTACTTCTGTGCCTAGCTGCTTTGCCAACGGAAGGAAGCATGAGGGCTTGGATACTGCCAGGTGGCCCAAGCCTAGACAGGAGCAGTTGACATACTGAAGTTGGGTTCGAACCAAGGACCTTCCGGTGGATAAGCTGGCGCCCTAACCACAGGGGTAGCTCGAGCAAGTGCAAGTATCAAGTGCTTGAACGGACCTGGTAGCACCATACCACAGACGAAACTCCCGGAACTATGCACGGATAGGGAGATCTCGTTCCAGTAGGAATAGACATTCGACCGCAGAGTAGATGGAAGAAAGTTCAGAATATCGTTCTGACAAATCCGTTCAACTTCGGGATATGCCAAGCTCCCAGTTGCTAAGTAAGTTTTCCGCCCCCTATGTGGCCCTTGAAAGCGAAGAGCCATTCTGGAGGGGTGCGTGGTCGGAATCCAAAGAAGTGTTCCAAAACGACCGGCAGTCAGTTATCGAGCACTACCGGCAGCTGATGACGGTGGTCAATTGAGGTACGTAGCTGGCACGCTAAAGGATGTTATGATGGTCAGTCTATTCAACAGAGTTAGTGCCTGGTCTTTGTCTTCAAAGATGAGGGCGACGTCATCTGCGAACTCCAGGTTTGGATATGTAGAAAACGTATCCGGCCCGATGATGTCTAACTGGAACTCCAGACTGACGAGGTGCGAACCAGCGACGGTTTGAACACCGAAGTTTTGATGACCTCTCAGCGTTCACCTCACAGTTCCATTGATGAAGCTGAACGAAAATGGAGACAGTAGTTATCACTACCGGATATCGCTTCTTGTTGGAAAGCTTGCAGACATCCTATAACACACTCCTACACGTCCGAAGTACGTGAATATAAGAACTGGGTTATGTTATTTTTGAACATCTATTGAACAAATGTAGGTAAGGGCAATGGCCTAACGATAGAATCTAAAGCATCATTGAAGTCAAGGAACACCAAAATACATGACTTGCTCTAACATCTGTCGGTTGAAATCCCACTTGATGTTCAAAGGTCGATATTTTGCGTGCAGCCATAAAACGACGAGCAATCAGTAACATCATGAGCCTTGTCACGACGGGAAATGAACTGACGGCCAGACGGACGTTGATTGGGGATACAGCAGCGTCCTTAAACAGGTGGAAGATTGTCTGGACCTGGAGCACGATGGCGCTCGGACACTTCTGAGGCTGAAGAGGGGTCCATATTCACAGCCCATGTTCCTGTTAAAAGCCGACAGTTCTGATTGGAGGTAGAAGGTGGTCGACTGAATCATTGTTAGAAGCATTGTGTTCAAGGCTCCAAATGTTCTCCTTTGCCAGATACCAGTAAGCCATTTTGGTGCTCGAGGAGCTCGAAAAGGCTCAGTGGTTAAGGCACCAGATTACGGACAGGAGGATTCGTAATCGAACTCAACCACCAGCTTCTCGACTGCTCGTCCAGGCTTGGACAACCTGGGAGCATCCCAGCCCTCGTGCCTCTTTCTGTTGACATGCCAGCTGGGCACCGTAAGGGTGCTACAGCTGAACGATTCAATCCACTAAGATTCCCGGTCTGCAGGGAGAAAAATCGTTCAGCTACCACAATCAACCGGTGCCTAGCTGCCATGCCACCCGAAGGAAGCACGAGCGCTGAGATATTGCCAGGTCACCCAAGCCTAGACGGGGGAATTTGAGATACGAAGGTCGGGTTCGAACTACGGACCTTCCGTGCTCTAACTACTTGAGCCACCTCGTAGGAACGCTTAGTTTAACCTGGCGTCTGATGATGCGTCGAGTTGAATTGTGGTTGCAACCAGGAAGAATCTGTCGCTGAGCAAAGCCACACTCCTATCAGAGATCCAGTGTTGGCTGGCTCGTAGCGCAGGTAGAAATTGCAGCAATGAGTAATGCTTTGGATACCTACCTCCAGTGATCGTTAACACGCGAAACTGGACCAACCGGCACACGTTGGAGGTGCTTATGATAGGTTTGTTTGATTGCTGGTACTCTCAATGGCTAATCGAGGTTGGCGCAGACTTGTGAAGAGCAATGAAAATGAGCGACGGGAAAGTGCATGGGTACAGTCCATGTAAGTATTCCAAAAACAGCGGTCAGTGGTGACCGACCCTCAGCATTGGTGATCGATGACGATGTGACCAATAAAGATTCGGGGCTGGTTTGTTGGGGTCAAACGACTTCCGCTGTTGCATAAGCAGCTACTTCAAAGGAACCATTTCTAGTCAACACATATCTCCAGCAGACGCTGTACGTCATGTGTCTAATCCAGGATGACAATTCAGTTGAGCCTCAGCAGCGCTAAGCCAACTTACCTGAGCGTTCATGTCACCAACAATTAAAACCATATCTGAGCTCGTAACACGTCGTAAAAGAGCACTTAGGACGTCTTTGGCGCACTCAGAGCTGGTCTATCAGGGCGCAAGCAAAAAACAATAAACAGGGGCGGTAGAAGGTAATAAGGTTATCATTCAGCTGTAAAATCATTTCGGTGCCTAGCTGCCGTGACACACGAAGGAAGCAAGAGGGCAGGGCTACTGTCAGGTTGCCCAAGCACACACAGGGGAAGTCGAGATGCAGAAGTCGGGTACGAACCATTAACCTTGCACTCACGCTCTAACCACAGCCATATTGCCCCTTTGCTAGTTCAAGAGCACTCAACTTTCAAAGACTCTTGGTGTGAAGCTGCCATCTCATCCGCGCGTACGGCAGTGATGCATCCATGTTGAACAGTGATGTTATGCTATCGATGGTGATTCCACCGGCAATACAACCTACTACACCCAAGCAAACGGCAAGTGACAATTTAAGGTATCAATCAACGCCATTGACGTTACCCAACATGCGCCATACTCCTCCGGGGTATATGTTTTGCAATATAAAGTGGACCGATAGATTTCCGGGGCCAAACTACTCTATTATCAGTCGTTGTCCCTCTCCGAGGTCTAATACTCCTCTGTCACTGACAGTTGTGCGTACGAGGCTTCGTTTATCAAGCACCTTGCCACTGGACTACCTCATCTCCCCTCTACTGACATAGGCTTGTCAAGAGGTGACGTCTATGCTCTCCAAGCGCTGAGGACATGCACATACCTTTTTCTATGCCCCCACGTAACTCAGAAAACTAAATTGTTCAAACGAGTGCCTCTTCAGGATAGATCTATGTAACGAACTTTTTTCCATCAGATTGCGTTGTGATCCAGGTAAGGCTGCCAATATCAATAGATTTCAACTAGCATATGAAAAATCACACTGATAGCCGAAATTGCTCGACGTCCCAAGGTCCTAGAACAAGCCTTGTCGAGAACAGAGCAAACCATCTACAAGATAGTGGCATTGCAATCAGTAGCACTGCGCCTTTTAAGGCCGGTCTGCAATTCATAAGTATACCAGTGCCACAATGATCAGTGTCGTCAAGAGCCACCACCACTATCACACCACCATGCAGCTCATATCAATTATTTGGCCCCACTCAATCAATCCAGTATACAGCGGTCGCGAATCCTGTGTACATGTAAAGCAGCGGTTTGATAAATTCAA